AGACTGGTAAAACATAGCATAGTCCAGGGAAGCCCAGGCTATGCAGAGAAATCCTCTCTAGAAAAAACTGATAGATGCTAGATATAGATAGATATGTAGATAGATAGATGATAGATAGATAGATAGATAGAATAAAACCACCACCATCAAAGTGCAGATGGGTCTTAGCTTCTGACGGTCTATCTTACAAATCTTCAAGTTTACAGTTTACTGTGTTCAGTTGAAATTACACTTTGTTTTTGTTCTTTTTTTTAATTTTTAAGTTGTGGCTTACTGGAGCAGTACGCTGAGAGTTCATATATATATTTTAAGATTTATTTATTTATTTTATATGAGTACACTCTAGCTGTCTTCATACACACCTGTTACAGATGGTTGTGAGCCACCATGTGATTGCTGGGAATTGAACTCAGTGGAAGAGCAGTAGTCGGTGCTCTTAACCCCTAAGCCATCTCTTCAGCCCTTGAAATTACACTTTGAATTCGTATCTTTCCCCAGATAAGTGTTGTGCAGAATCTGATCAGAGGTAATGACCGCTTGACCAGGAGGTGAACCAGCTACTGACCTGCAGTGTGCTGGAACTACTCCACTCTGGTGCTCTGTAAGACTAGTGTAGCAAATCATTTCCTACCTGGAAGATTTCCAAGTTGTCACAGGTTTGCCATGCATTGCCCCACCACCGGTCAAGGATCCTCTACAACCAATCCAACATATTCAGAAGGAAAATAAAAACTCAACAAGTCACTAGCATGGTAGGTAGCCCGCCTCCAAATCCTTCATTCATGTAAGACTTGTTACTTCTTATCCCCGTCTATCTGCCTGCCACTCAACTTCTGATGCAGGCCTTACCCCTGACTAGGAATCCAGGGTCTTTCTGCAGCGCCCCTGCCTGCTGGCTCCCCTTTCCCTTGACTTTGGCTTGGTGCTACTCAGGGGTAGCTTGTGGCTTCCCTGTCCAGCCTCTCAGGACTTTCCACCTATCTACCAGTGGATCAGAAACCAGGAAAGGTGGCAAGATTATCTAACTCTGTGTCAATAAACCAGGGGTCTCCCACTCCATTATTTATATCTGTGTTTTATTTCAATAGCAATCACAGCAAATGATAAAATAACTAAAGGACATTGGGTCTGGTTGCTCAAGAATAAAACAGTGTTAGCTTCTGTGGCAGTGTGAATGAAATCATCTTTGGATTTTTGTTTGTTTGAAGTGGAGCCTCACTGTGCAGCCTTAGCTGAACTGTCTATAGACATCAAGTTTTCCTCAAACCAAGAGATAGGCCTGCCTCAGCCTCCTGAATGTTAGGATTAAAGGTACCTGCCACCACACTTGGTATCTTAGTTAGGGTTTCATTGCTGTAAAGAGGCACCATGACCAAGGAACCTCTTATAAAGGCAAACTTTTTTGTTTTTGTTTTTGTTTTCGAGACAGGGTTTCTCTGTGTAGTCCTGGCTGTCCTAGAACTCACTCTGTAGACCAGGCTGGCCTCGAACTCAGAAATCCGCCTGCCTCTGCCTCCCAAGTGCTGGGATTAAAGGCGTGCGCCACCACCCCCCGGCAAAGGCAAACTTTTAATTGGGGCTGGCTTACAGTTTCAGAGGTTCAGTCCATTATAATCATGGTGGGAAGCACGGCAGTGTGCAGGCATGTGCGGGCAGTGTGTGGGTCTATGGTGCTGGAGTTCTAGGTAGAGCTTAAGCATAGGAAACCTCAAAGCCCACCCCCACAGTGCCACATCCACTCCAAAAAGGCCACACCTCCTAATAGTGCCATTTTCTGTGGGCCAAGCATTCAAACACATGTCTTTATGGAGGGCATTCCTATTCAAATCACCGCACAAGGCCATCTTTGGATTTTTAATTTGCAATGGGGCTGGGGTCTGCAAGCACCGTTGTCTTTCTCTCCTTCTGAGCCCTGGAGGCACTCCCTCATTGCCAGCTATGCCAGGGTTGGATAGATAAACCCACAGAGCCTTCATTTTAAAGGGTACAATCCTCTGGTTAAATCCCTAGGCAGAAAGGGGTCCCTGTGCTTTTTGACTTCCACTATCCCCACATTGCAATGGGGTCCCAGCCTAGTCCTCCAACTACTCACTGGGTTCTTGCACAGTGCCTGTCCAGAAGGAGAGAAATCTTCCTTAAAAGGCAGCAAATGGTTCTCACAAATAAAGCCTCTATATTTGTTACATAACCAGCCAGGCCCTGGCAAGTCTCAGCCCCAGCGCTAGAAAAATCAACTGCCAAAAATCCAATTCTAAGCCAGGCATGGTAGCACACACCCATAATCCCAGCAGTGAGGAAGTTGAGGTGAGGGTATTGGAAGTTTGAGGCCAGTCTGGACTACATTGTGAACCTGTTTCAAACAATAAAATTACACATATCTTGAGGTTCTGACAGGTCAGAGAAGGTGGTAAAGCTATCCCCAGGGTTGCAGATTGAAAAGCACCGCCCCCCCCCCCCCCCCATCCCTGTCATCCCAGAACTTTTCTGAGTCCTTGTTGATATAATTAGGGGAAGAACTTTGAGGTGATGTCCTCCTGAATTTGAGCAATGTTGCTTGACCTGTGTCATTCTAAGGAAGAAAGAGGGCTCACAGAAGAGCCCAGAGGGAAGACAGCCACTAAAGTGATAGAGGCTAGACCAGTGCAGCCACTGACCAAAGGAGGCAGACAGGAGCCTCAACTGCAGACATCAGGACTGTGGCCCTGCTGACACCAGGTTTTTGTTTGTTTGTTTTTGTTTGTTTTTTATTTGTTTAATTCTGGCCTTGAAAATTAGGAGATAACTTTTTTTCTGTTGGTTCAAGCTGCCCAATTTGTGACAGTTTGTTACAGTAGTCATAGGAAAGGCACCCCAGAGATGAACGAGAGATGGACAATGTATTAAAGAACTTGAAGGTCCAGGCCAGTGCTCTTGAGGGGCCAAGAATCTCCACCAGCCCTTTCCAGCAGCATCAGGAGTTTTTAGTCACAAACTTTCCAAGTGTTGTTGGCTTGTGGAGTGAAAGGGATCAAGACAGGAGGAGCAGGCATTGGAGCAGAGCTGACTCCCAGCCTCAGGCCTCTGAAGAAGCCTCACACAGGTGCAAATTATACCAAGGCAGAAAACGGAGAAGACAGGTGCTGCTGGGGTTGGGTGAGGGGCAGAGGTATGCTGAAGGTTTCTTACTGAGTAGTCCCCTCTCCTCCAACACAGGCTGGAGAGTTGGAGAGAGGACAGTAAGCCTCAGGGCCGTTGAAGGAACCCAGCCATGAGTAGTCTGCGGAGGCTCTCTGACTATGTGAGGGTCTCTGAGGGGATAAGGAACAAACAGGAGGCTTGAAACCTAGATGGGAATCCCTGAGCTAACGACTGGAACAGACTGGAACAGACCACCCAAATCAGTCTGGAGTCACCATTTCACAAGAGGCACAAGAGCAGTGGGGGTTCTGGAAAGGGAAGGCCAGAGACTCCCCACACCATGTCAGGCCTCTGCCCCCTGCCTGGGCCTGTTCCTCGGTATGTATGAAGGCACACACAGCATTCCTTCTACCTAGCTTCGGCTCTCTAGGCTCACCCAGGCAAATGTGGCTCCCTTTTATCTTAAGAGGAGCTCGTAGTGGAGACAAACAGGAGGTAGCACAGCTCATGGCTGTCTGAGGCAGGCCTCTCCCTTCTCAGGCTCACTCCCCTACCACCTTCCTACAACGACTACCACAGTAGGACTGTGTGGAGCCTGAGGAATGAAACCAAAAGACAATTTCCATATGGGAATCTGAAGCCTCTGTTCTATGGAGTCTTTTGTTACCATCTAAGGACTGCCCTCCAGGAAGAGCAACTCCATTCAAGCACATTTTAGCAACACTGGGGCCTGGACCTACCCAGTAACTATGCATCCTGCTGCTAGCTCTGCTGCAAAAGCTACCTCCAGTACCAGGATAGTCACAAACAGGTCTCTCAGCACTCAGGGAGAGATCCCTTCCCTTCTCCACCGGCCACAGGAGGATTACAGACCTGGTCTTTAGGCTGTTCTGGGACTCTCATAGGCACACAGACACATATAGTACACTCAGTACTCAAAACCCACAGCCAGTTCAAACTACTCTCAAAATGGATTCCCTCTGTTCTCAGCTTGGAGTGCTGACGGTACAGTTATGCCACCTTGCCAGACCAAAATTTAAAGTTATATGAGGTTCCACTTGACATTCTTTTCCTCCAGTATTACCAAGTTGGTTGTGCTCCTTAGATCACAAAAATATTTCAACGGGGCTGGAGAGATAGCTTAGGCGTTAAGAGCACTTTCAGCTCTTACAGAGGGCCTGGGTTCAGTTCCCAGTCATCCTTAACCCCAGTTCAAGGAGATCAGACACTCTCTTCAGATTTCTGTCAGGCATACATGTGGTGTACATGCATGCATTCAGGCAAAACACTTAAACACATAATTTTTTTAAAAGAAATTTTTAAGGGACTAGAAAGATGGCTTATTGGTTAAGAGTACTTGTTCTTGCAGAGGACCTGAGTTAGATTCCCAGCATTCACAGGGGCAGCCAGCGGCTCACAACTGTTCTTAACTCAAGATCCAAGGATCTGATACTTTCTCACACAGTGGGCACCAAGCATGCACGTAGTGTACCGCTACACATGCAAGTAAAACACGTAAACACATAAACTAAAAAATAAATAAATCTAATAAATATTTTTTTAAAATAAAATCACTCAAGTGTATACAGTATAGTTTTGGTTTCTTTTTCAGACTTAAATGATCGATCCATCTGGAATTTACTTAATGTTAAGGAATTTGTGAGGAGGCCAATTTCTATTTTCCAAATGGACCGCCAGCTGTCCCAGTGCCGTCCCTTAGATTGGAAAACTTTTTCACAGTCCACCAGTTCACACGCAGACTACTCAGGCTTACGTATCCGCTCCCCTCTGCATACCCAGGGGAAGCCGCGTGGGCGCCCCGTCACCAGCAGTGGCAGTGGAGGGACGCCAGGACTTCGCACACGGCCCTGGATAACCTGAGACTCCGCCCTCGGGGCGGGGAGGAGATGCCGAGGCCCCGCCCCCGAGAGAAGAAAAGGGCCCTCCAGTAGGCGGCGAAGCCCCGCCCACGGACCCTGGCTCCTCCAAGGTTTGCTAAACCATTGGGGCTTTCTCAGAGAGTAGTTCACAGAAGGCCTCCGGCGTTATTTGCATAGAGCTGGTGCTTCGGGAGGGAAGCCTAAGGCATCCTAGAGGGCGTCTCATTTGCCTAGAGCACACACCACTTCCTCTCTCCGCAGGCTTCCTTCCTCGCTCTCCTTCCGCCTTTCCTGACCCTGCCTTCCTTCGTTCTACGGCCTCCTGTGCTTCCCGAGTCGGTGCCCAGATGCTTCCGAAACGACGGCGAGTGCGAACTGGGTCCCCACACAGCGCTGTAACCTCTTCCACGCCGCCAGCGACGCGCTTCCCGGGTGTTGCCATCTACCTTGCGGAGCCGCGAATGGGCCGCAGCCGCCGGGCCTTCCTCACGCGCCTGGCGCGGTCCAAAAGCTTCCGCATCCTAGATGTCTACAGGTCTGCGGCTCCTGCGAGGGCTGGACGGTGGTGGGATGCCAGCCTCGCGGGGGGCTGATGTAATTATGCCCGTCACCTCAGTGTATGGACTTACTGTGGCCCAGGGCTGGAGCTGGCGCGCAGGTGCTGTGACAGCAAGCAGCACCTGCGGCTTTGAGTTCCAAGCCAGCCTTGGTACTTCGCGGTTGCGGTACTGTTCTCCAAGCCGGAGTTCCTCTTTTTGAAAGGATAACATCGAGTCAGAGGCTTCTTAAAGAGCCATAGAAGAAAGAGTGGTTATTGAGCAATATTTGCTAGCTGCCTTCCCTCCCAATGAGCCAGCGGTCAAGGGTGTCCTGAGTTTGCAGACGTCACCAACTGGCTCCAGTAGAGAACATGCCCAGGGCAATGGGGTAACTTTGAGAGTGAGGGGACTAAAGGAATTTGGAGCCTGTGCCCCTGTAACTGGCTAGCTTGTTTGCAACTCCGCCCTCCACAAATGAAACATTCCTAAAGACTAATGTACCAGACTCACTTAAGAGTAGAGGTAACAATTTGGATTGCACGTGACTCTGCATTTTTACCACAGCCTGACAAGATGGTTTGCATTGGATTTTTCCAATGTAGAGGAAATATAAATACTATGCTTTCCAAGGACATACAACAAGAGTCTGCCTACTGGGCTTTGAATAAATAGGGCAAGAGTCTCCTGTCTTAAAATCTTAGCAGAGTGAGATGCCTGTCTGCAGTCCTGGTGCAAGGGTGCTAGAGTTCCAGGCCAGCCTGGCCTACAAAGCAAGTCTCCAAACAGCAATTAGCATTGAGATCAGAACCCCCTGGCCCTGGCCACTGAGGCACCTGAGGCAGAGAGGGTGGTGGATAACTTAACATGCCCAAGTGGCTTGTGAATGAGGCTGGAGCTAAGGACCTGTTGGACCCAAGCAGAGAGGTGTTCATCCATCAAGGAGGGTCTGGGAAGGCTTTCTGGAAGAATGCAGGCCTGTCACAGTGCAAGAACAAAGGCTTGGGATAGGAGCAGAACAGCAAGGCCCCTGGGTTTCATTCTCCTCTCCTTCCAGCTCAGATGTGACACATGTGGTGATGGAGGGGACCTCAGCCAAGGAGGCCATCTGCTGGCAGAAAAGCATGGATGCTGTTCTCCCAGGCTGCCCGCAGCCAGCTCTGTTAGATATTAGCTGGTTTACAGAGAGCATGGCAGCTGGGCAGCCTGTTCCTGAGGAGGGACACCGCCTGGAGGTGAGCTAGTGAGCTGGGACAGACGCCATGATAGCAGGTCCTCGGTGTCCTCAGGAGGAGGTGGGAGTAAAGGCTCTCCGAAGACTGCAGGGGGCCCTGGGAAGCCAATAGAAACCCCAGCAGGGCTTTGGGGACTGGGCCATCCCACCTTCTGGTCTAAGCATTTGGGACCTACTTTTAGTATAATGAGAGTTTCTTCCTTAGTGAGTAATTGGGATGACCTGAGTTGACAGGAGCTTGTCCCTGGGATGCTCTGGAGCCCAGCTGCTAGGAGACAGGGGGCAAGCTCCCTCACTTCTGAGCCGCCCCGTCCCTAGCCCACATATGTAGAGTTGGGGGCAGAGCACACGCCAGTGCTGTGGCCTCACCAGTGGCTCACTTTTTTTTTTTTTTTTTTTTTGCAGGTAGCTGAGCCCAGGCAGGAGCCCCCAAGCTCAGTGACAGTGCCAGCTTATGCCTGTCAGCGTCCCTCACCTCTCACACACCAGAACACTTTCCTCACAGTAAGCTGCATCTAGGAGCCGATCCCCACCCCGGAGAACAGGGACTTGGGTAGAGCTGGTTGGTAGCTGGAAGGCTGAGACAAGGTACCTTATCCCATAACTAAGGGCCCTCCCTGCAGGAGGCTCTGGAGACACTGGCAGAGGCAGCAGGTTTCGAAGGCAACGAGGGCCGTCTTCTCTCCTTCTACAGAGCAGCCTCGGTGCTCAAGTCCCTTCCCTGCCCTGTGACATCTTTGAGCCAGCTGCGTGGGCTACCCTACTTTGGAGAACATTCCTCTAGAGTCATCCAGGTGGGTACTTGTCACGGTGAGTGGGGTGAGTGGGGAGTCCTAGGCCCAGTGGAACAGCAGGAGACTTGGTTCAAAGCCCAGTCTGAAATTGCGGGCACGCACCAGAAGCTGCTGTGTGGCCACAATAAGTTGTCTTCAGTACAGATTCCTAGTGCGAGGGTTGTTCCCCTGTCCTAGGGCGGATGAGTGACTCAATCGAGGTTGCTGCAGATGTTCGTGTCATTGTTAGCAATCCCAGGATGTCTGTCTGGGAAAGCACCCTGGAATGGTTTTTTGAGGACCCAACATTGAACCAGCCTTTTGGATACTTTTCCTTGAAGAACCCATAGTGGCATTTCAAAAGGGAAACATTGGTCTGTCTTGGGACTCGTGTAAGGAGTGACCCATACCACAGGTTCTGTTACTCTGGCCCTGAAGAGCTTTAGAGCAGGTGTCCCTGCCACACCAGCAGTGTCTTAAAGCTTTGGTTACCTCCCTGGGCTCAGTCTTCATTTCCAAGTCCTGCCGGTCCCTCTCTGCAGGGTACTACAGAGGAACTGCCTCACCTTGGGCTCAGAGTTGTGTTTTGTTTCCTGTCCCAGGAGCTGCTGGAGCATGGAACATGTGAGGAGGTGGATCAAGTCCGTTGCTCAGAAAGGTACCAGACCATGAAGGTGCGTGTCAGCGAGGGGACAGGACCCTGGCAGGGGTTGACAGTGTAGCCCACATCATGAGCAAACAGCCAGCAAAGGCCATTTCACCCCGCTCTGAGGTCATAGACAGTCAGTAAGGAATGGCAGCTAAACAGACACCCAATAGGCAGGAGGCTGCCAGATGGAGACATGCAGACAGGACCTGTTTTGAGCACAGGGACATTTCTACATCACTCAGCACCATCTGGTTTTTTAATGGAATATTCTTGCATGTATTAAAGTGCTCACTGAGCCTGGTGGTGGTGGAACAGGCCTTTAATTCCCAGCACTGGGGGTGGAGTGAGGGGTGGGGGCAGAGGCAGGTGGATCTCTGTGAGTTCTGAAGCCAGCCTCTGATTTACAGAGTGAGTTCCAGGACAGCCAGGGCTACAAAAAGAAACCCTGTCTCAAAAGATAAAAACCACCACCACCAACAATGAAATGAAAATGAAAAAGAGCATGCTGAACAAAATTATAGGTTTTGTGTGTTTGTGTGTATATGCGCGCACACACACAGACGCACATGTGCATGCTACAGCCCCTTTGCGTGGCCCCATCTCTGGTCTCGGGTATCATTCTCAGTGTGGTGGCCTGCCTGTCTCCATGAGGCACTGTACCCATGCCTACTCACTGCAGGCGACCTGGGTGCCTGGCTTTTATCTGCTCTGACACCTTCTGCCTCTCCTTTTGTAGTGGGAGATTGTCAGGTCAGTGGCCTGAGATTTGTGGCAGTGAGTTGTGGCCTCCTGGGAGGGTGAGGTGTGTGGTTCTGTGGGACACTGTGCCCGGTACTGTCAGAGCAGCAGGGAGGACTTGGTAGAGATTCCTCTAGCCAAGAGTCCTGGCTGTGACCATGCTGGGTAGATCAGGCATGGGGCTTGAGCTGAGGTGACCTTGCCTCTGCCCCAGTGAGGGTTTCCTGGGCAGAAGAGAGATCAGCACTAGAAGATGTTGGAGGTGTCTCCTCTCTATTCTGCTTCCTGGGTATCCGGAAGTCCTAGAAAACATCCATGCCAGCAGAAAATTATACCAGTACTTAGAAGGTTTTGTTTGTTTGCTTGCTTGCTTTCCAGGATGGGGTTGAGACTTTGCATACTGAAGCAGAGAGTGGCCTCCAACTAAAAGCAAGCGCCTGGCTCAGCTTCCTGAGTGCTGAGACTATAGGTGTGAGGCCAGCCCACTTTTAAAAACAAACAATATACTTGTTTTCTCAGTATTTTACTCATTTTTAATTTTGTAAAATCTGGTTTGCTATACAGAGAAACCCTGTCTTGAAAACAAAACAAAACAAAAAAAAAAACCTGGCTTATTTATTTATTTGGGAGGAAGCACACGATGGCATACATGTGGAGGGTAGAGGATAGCTTGCATGGGTTGTTTTTGGTTTTGGTGGACTGCATTTCACAGCCCAGGCTGGGCTAGACCATATTCTGTAGCCGAGGCTACCTTCCTCCTGCCTTCACCTCTCAGATGCTGAGATACCAGAATGCACTGCTATATTCAAATGTCAGATTTTTTTGTAGGCTATTCTTTAAATTACATATATGCATGTCCGTGTGCGAGTGGGGTGGGTCCAGGTGACAGGTCCCCTGGAGATAGAGACAGTTGCAAGCTACCTGACATGGTATGGAATTTGAACTCAGACCCCCTGCATGAGTAATACTTGGTCGTAATTGCTGAGTCATCTCTCCAGCCCTAGATTCAGATTTTTGTTTTGTTTTTCAAGACAGGGTTTCTCTGTGTAGCCCTGGCTGTCCTAGGACTCACTCTGTAGACCAGGCTAGCTCTGAAGTTAGAGATCTGCCTGCCTCTACCTCCCAAGTGCTACAGATTAAAAGTGTCACCACCTTATTCAGCTAGTACCAGATCTTGAAAGCCAGTGACAGATTTTGACTGCAGTGACAGTGGTCTGTTTTACGCTGTGAGTTCAGAGGGGCAGGGCTGAGACAGCTCTTTTTCCTCTGCATTTGCATGGCAGCTTTGTTTTGTTAGTTTGCGATTGGGGTCTTGCTTATAGTTCAAGGCTGCCCTGGAATTCAAGCTCTTCCTGCATCTGTCTCCTGCGTCCTGGATGGCAGGTATGCATGGCCACACCTGGTCTCCATCTTCTTGACACACTAGAGATGTAACCACAAAAGGGTTTGGACTGTGTATATTGCCTTCACTGCTCTGGGGGCTGCCTTTAGTCTCCTTCAAGAGTCTCTGAGTGGTTGGCCTAAGGCAGTCAACATGCTTAGTCCAGGACTTCATGGACCAGTTGGCATTTGAACGTTAGAGAGCAGCCTGCTGGGTAGATACTGGTCAGGCCTCCATTGTTTCTCTTGAAACCACCTCTTTGTTCACTCTTCCTTGGTTTTGTTGTCGAAGAGCAGCACAGGTAAGTTCTAGTTGTGGTAGGTTTTCCCAGGAAACTAACCTGGTGAGCCTGTATGTTAGAGTAGCTCTCTGGGATCTGTTTTAAGCACAGGCTGGGCTTGTGCATTAAGGAGGCAGACTTTATAAAAGGGGTAAAGAGAGAGCTTACTGAAGTTTTTTGGTAGTTGGGCAGCAGAAATATGCTGTCCCTAGTAGGGCTACTCTCAGAGTTTGTGGTTTCAGTCCCCTGTGGCTATAGTCTGGCCAGGATTGAGTCTTTGTCCTGTGGCATTGGGCATGAAGACAACACTCTCAGGGGCATCTTCCCTGGACTTTGCTCCTGACCCATCCATTCCTTCTTCTTCAACATAGCTCTTCACCCGGGTCTTTGGGGTTGGGGTGAAGACTGCCAACCGGTGGTACCAGGAAGGACTACGAACGCTGGAAGAGCTCAGAGAGCAGCCCCAGAGACTGACTCAGCAGCAGAAAGCAGGTGAACTTCCCAGAGCCGCCTGGACCTGGAAGCTATGCAATGAAGCCTTTAGTTCTAGTGGGGGACCGATTGCCTGAGTGCAGGGCAGCAGCTGGTGCAGAGGGATCCTGGTAGCCATAAGAGGGGCTCCCCATGGCTTCCTTCCTGTACCCAGGCCATGACCGTTTTTCAGAGATTGTTGTCTCAGAACTGCTATGGCATCTGGACCTCATGTTTCTTCCTGTTTGATTTCAGTTTGTGTTAGGGACAGCCTTGGTCTGGGCTACCTATCTAACGTGGTGTCTTTTGTATGTGGTTTTGTGGTGCAGGCATCACTGTGAGTGGAAATGACACAGACCTTGGGTTTGAGTCTGCTCCTCCATTTGCTAAGTATGTAACCATGGCTTCAAGACTAACATCTCTAAGTCGTGGTTACCTTCTCTGGGAAACACAGAGAAATGATAGCGTGGAATTCCTAAGTGCCTCCGGAAGTTGGCCGGTGATGAGCACACATGCTGTCTGTGTAGCCTGTCAGGTTGAGCTAGAGGTCTTGGCTGGAGACTCTGCTGAAAGGTACCATGGCCTGCTGGTGGCCTGTCAGGGTGCTTCTGCTTCCATTGCCTCTCCCCAGGGCAAGGCAGACAGGATGGCCAGCAGTCTTTACTAAGGGCTTGCTAAGTGCTAGGTTTGCCATTCCTCATGCTTAATTCTACTTAGTGGTGCCCCTCTGGCAGGCAGAGTAGGCCAAAGGAGAGGCGGCTAGCAGTACTCCATCTTTTTTTCATCTTTTTACCACATTTCACTTGTGTTTCATTAATCTGGAGAATCTGAAACCTTCAAAGGGCTGGCTACATCTTGCCTGCATTAACTTCATTGTCTCATGTAGTTTTGTGAAATAATTTTTTGTTTGTTTTGTTGTACTGCTGGGGATTGAAGCTAGGGCCTTATAAGGCACATGTTAACAAACTCTCTGCCCCAGACCTCTGGTATGTACCCCTGGCTGGCCTGAGACTCTATATATAAATCATGCTGGTCTCAAACTTACTGGAGTTTTATAATATCCTATGTTTGTTGGGGAGTTGGGTAAAGGGCACAGGGGATCTTGTTTTCTTCATTTGCATGTGAATCTACAGTTACCTCAAAATAAGAATTTGAGTTTAAAAGGAGAAGTAGGTCCTTTGTGGGTCTCATTCTGCTCTGGCCCCAGCCCTTCCCTCTGTGCCTCTGCCTTTCCTGCAGCCACCTGGCTGTGGTGGCTGCTGAGTCCTGGGGGTGGGGCTCCGTGGGGAACACAGGCTGTGCTGCCCACAGGGCTCCAGTATTACCAGGACCTGAGCACTCCGGTTAGGCGAGCAGACGCCGAGGCTCTACAGCAGTTGGTAGAGGCAGCAGTGAGACAGACCCTGCCCGGAGCCACTGTCACACTGACTGGCAGCTTCCGAAGGTTAGAGGGCCCACCGTACCTTCTGAGTGTACTCCGGGCTCCTTCTTAAGGGAGGGACTTGAGTTGTGGATACCAAGGTGGCCTTTCCTCTCACTTAAAAGAACATGGCTTTGTGTAGAGGGCAGAGATTCAAACTGTCTCTTTCAGGGGAAAGTTACAAGGTCATGACGTGGACTTCCTTATCACCCACCCCGAGGAGGGCCAAGAAGTAGGGCTGCTGCCCAGGGTAATGGGCTGCCTACAGAGCCAGGTGAGGCCCTCCAGTGCCCTGCCCTGGAGTGACCCTCTGCCCTCCCAGAACCACGGCACACCAGGCCACACCTGCCTCCCCTCTCCCAGGGATTCGTCCTGTATCACCAGTACCATCGCAGCCACTTAGCAGACCCCGCCCACACCCTGCGGCGGAGCTCCACCTTGGACGCTTTTGAGAGGAGTTTCTGCATCTTTTGTTTGCCACAACCCCAACAGACAGCTTTAGAAGGGGCCCTGCATCCCTGCCCAACCTGGAAAGCTGTGAGGGTAGATCTTGTGGTCACCCCCAACAGCCAGTTCCCCTTTGCCCTTCTTGGCTGGACTGGCTCCCAGGTAAGTCCCATGTTCCTTTCGGGGCCTGGGACTGTGGTGGGCCAGTCCTGCTAAAGGAAGTTATCCCTTCCCTCCTCAGTTTTTTGAGCGGGAGCTACGGCGGTTCAGCCGGCAAGAGAAGGGGCTGTGGCTGAATAGCCATGGGCTGTTCGATCCTGAACAGGTAAGTCTCCAGGAACCAGGGTAAGAAACAATTCCCATAACCCAAATCTAGTCCACAATCTCAAATATGGTGCACACCGCCAGGTAGCATGACATGGTCACAGCTGCACTGTGCACAGTAACATGGGCCCAGCACTACTGCATGGTAGCATGACCTGGGACTGGCTACACTGTGCACAATAAGATGGCCTGGGCCCCAGCCACTAAATATTCTTGTCCCTTGCAGAAGAGAGTTTTCCATGCAACTTCTGAAGAAGATGTTTTCAGACTCCTGGGCCTCAAATACCTTCCTCCAGAGCAGAGAAATGCCTGAAATGAGAAACGCCTGCTGGCTGCCACACCCACCCACAAAAAAAAAAAAAAAAAAAAATGAGGGGCTGCCTCATGCCTGACCAGGAATGTTTCCAGACAGGAGCACTGCCACCCCATGGCCACACCTGTGCAAATGGAATTTTCACCTCCTGAGACTTTGGTCAAGTGTGACCCCGAGTCAGCTCAGCTCTCGGCCTCCACACTCCTCACAGTCAGGGGTTCTTACCAGTTCATACATCATGGACCTATGGTAGAGTCTGAAGTCTTGGTTCTGGTCCAGTTGTGGTTGCTGTGTCTGCTGCAGAGTACTCCATTCAGTGTGCCAGAGAAGAGACCTGTCCCTGCCCTGGGTTTGATATGGGAAGTATTGTTCCGGCAGTCAGGTGTTGCACAGAAGTAAGAGGCCTGCCTGAGTGCCACAGCAACCCCCAGTGCTGGCACAGTTGGTCCCACTACCCGCAGATCTGGGTACCTGTACTTCACAAGCAGCGCAGCTCCGGAATCGGTCCCACACGTGTCTTCTATCCTTAGTTACCAATCCCCTCACACTCCAGCCTAGGCCGAGCCTGGCCTGCCTACCCACAATCCCCTGTGCATCCACAGCCCCAGCAGTGCCTACTGGGAGGGCTGGTTCCTAGAACAGAGACTGTAGCCCAGCCTGGCAGCAGTCCTAAAGCTTGGCAAATCAGTGGGCAGCAGCGAAGTGCTCTTCCTATCCTGAGATTGTGAGGTGCAGTTCCCCGGCCCTTCTTAAAACAGCCCTGCAGGAGTTCCCAAACTGCAGTCCTCACACAGGCCCTGTGGCTTTGGTGTTTCTGTCATCTCTTCCAGTCTCAGCTGTACCCCTCCAGTTAAGCCTCTCCCCGACCCCTCGCCACTCCCACTTTCCCAGTTCACTCCTGGTCCCTGTTTGCAGCTCTCTGTGGCCAACTTCTTCACCTTCTCTGAGCCAGAAGCACTAAAGCTGGTCACAGTGTCCTTGTATCCCCAGGTGCCAAGGGCTCTAAAGTCCCTTGCCTTACTGTACACCTAGTGTCCACTGTCCCTGCCTTCTTCAGGACCTGACAGATGACGGCCTTGATCAATTAGCAGATTAACAAGTGTTTTAAAGATTAACATTCAATAAAGTGGATTTTTTTGGAGTATAGTTTGATGAGTTTTAACACACCTGCACACAGAGAATGGCCACTTCTGCCACCTTCAGGACACAGCTCTGTCCCTGAGAACCTTGCCTTATATCATTACTGTTAGGGTGACAGGCTCTCTTACCCCAACCCACTCATTTGGTTTTGTCCCTACAAGTATGTCATAGATGTGCAGCTGAACTTTGCATAAGCGGTTGCTCGCCTCTCCCTTAGCAAATGCTTCTGAGGCTCCTGCAGCTGATGCATATACTGTGCTTATTTCTCCTGTTGCTATATGCGGTGAACGTCTCACTGTCCGCTAGGCTCTTGGAGGCTCACACTGGTGTAGTTGTAACTAGAGCTGCTATGGGCATGCATCTTAAAGTGTCTCTGTGTAAACACTTCCTGTTGCAGGTGTAAGATACCCTGACAAGAGCAACTCAAGGGAGAAACGGTTTATTATGGCTCACAGTTGAAGATTCATCTCATCATGGCCTGGAAGGCATGGAGCTGGTCACATTGTCTCCTTGGCCAAGAAGGATTAGTGTGCTCAGCTAGTCTTTTTTTTAGGCACTAGCAGGCAGAAGAGTGGGTTGATTCTAAATCCTGTCAAGTTGACAATATTAAACATCATAAATACATTTTTATTTCTTTTGGGTAAATAGACAGGCATAGGATTATTGGATCATATGTATATTAGGGTTCTTCTCTAAGAGGAACAGAACTTATAGAATGAATATATTTGAATTTACATATATATGTGTATAATTTATTTAGGATTTATTAGAATGGCTTACAAATTGCGGTTCAGCTAGTCCAACAATGGCTGTCTACCAATGGAAGATCCAAGAATCCATAGTTGTTCAGTTCACAAGGCTGGATGTCTTGTTGGTCTTCAGTATATGCTGGAATCTCAAAGAAGTAGGCTCTACTGCCAGTGAAGGAATGGATTGCCATCAAGAGTGAAGGCAGGTAAAGAGAGAGCGTCCTTCTTTCATGTTCTTTATAGAAGCCACCAGCAGAAGGGCTGGCCCAGGTTAAAGGTGGATCTTTCCATCACAAAAGATCTGGAATTACAAATGTTCTTCCCACTTCAAATGATGAAGAAAAAAAGAAATCCCTCACAGGTGTATCCAACTTGGGTTTTCGTTAACTTCAGAAGTAGTGAAGTTGACAACTGGAAATAGCCATCACAAGTTTACCCCTTGTCAACTTGACACAAGTCATATTTCTTTTATGACATGCTTAAATTTCCAAATGAAAACAATAACTAGGTCATAATTATGCCTAACATAGTATAAATATCTCGTGTACAATTACAAATGCATTATATATTTAGCCGTGTCATAACTATGCCTAAGATGATATAACTATCCCTTACACAACTGCAGACACATTATAAATTTTAGAATAGGTGTCAGTGTCCTTTAAGGAACCTTTATTTTGACATCTCAAAACTTAAATATGACCACTGATATTCTCTTAATTGATGTTACATTGCATGATAAAGAAAACACAAATATCTGTACAAACACATTCTTAACAATATAGCAGAAGCACTCATGTCAATTATAATCCTTGTTTCTACAATTGGTCACATGGCCTTAGCTGGTATTTATAAATTCATTCCTCTACTACCTTATATCCTATTTTTAATAGTAAATATTATCCTGTGTTTCCTCTGTCTCCAGCAAGCACCTCAGCAAGTCTTGGATCTTTTCCTGGAGGAGTGACCCAAATCTTCATTCCTGAAGGATGTGTGTCCTTTGCCATCCTGTCCAGATTAGGTTGTAGCTTTCCCTTAATATTCATCACTGGACATGGTAGCACCAGGAGACTCCAGACATAATCTCTGGTGTGGAGAGGCAATCCAATTTCCTCATGGCAATCTGGATAAGTCATAACTCCTAACACTTATTCCTTTCTTACTTAGCCTGTTGGCTTAAGGGTTTTAGGAGCCCAAAGTAGACAAAGGAAGTCTAAGCTTCCAGTTCAATAGAATCTTTGTTGTGGCTCCTGGCAGGAGCATTTCTCCCTCAGGAATCAAAACTTCTAGGCCAGCAGAACTTAAGGTCATGGGAACAGGAAGAAAAATGTTCCTAGTGGGTCACTAAGGGTGATTGTGAGTGGAACTATTCCCTTTTCCACCCCTTGATTCTGGACTCATGGATCCCGGCTATGGAGGAAACTGTACCATATATCGGATGCTGATTCAAAGCATATACTGCCTTCTGGAAAACCCTGCCACAGGCTGGTGCCACCTAATTAACACTGAAACGGTGTCTTCAAAAGGCCAGTCCATATTTCTATCAAGTAGCTGCTTCAGGATGGTGGGGAACATGGTAAGATCAGATGATTCTGAGATCATGGGCTCACTGTCACTCTTCTCTGGTTGTGAAGTGAGTTCCTTGATCAGAAGCAATACTGTGTGGAATACCATGATGGTGAACCATATAATCCATTATATAAATCCACGGGTAGTAGTTTTAGCAGAAGCATCACATGCTGGAAAGGCAAATCCATAACCAGAATAAGGATCCACTCCAGTAATGACAAAGCAGTGTCCTTTCCACAGAGGAAGTGGCACAATGTAGTCATCTGCCATCAGATTGCTGGCCAGCACCCAGGGGAATGGTGCCACATCTGAGGCTCAGTGTTTGTCTCAGCTGTTGGCAGATCTGGCATTCAGCAGCAGCTGATTCCGTCTTGTTGAGCCCATCTCTGCCATCATGATCACTTTGTTTATGGGCCCATTGGGGAATGACAGGATGGCTTAGTAGAGTTTTTATTGCTGTGATGAGACACCATGACCATGGCAACTCTTACAAGGGAAAACATTTCATTGGGGATGAGTTTGGAGGTTTAGTTCATTATCATCATGGTGGGAAGCATGGTGGCAGACAGACAAATAAGATGCTGGAGAGGTAGCTTAGAGTTCTACATCTGGATTGGCAGGTAGCCAGAAAAGAAAGTGACACTGAGCCTGGCTTGAGCATCTGAAACTTCAAAGCCCACATCCCTGGTGACATACTTCCTCAAACAAGGCCACACCTTTTAACAGTGCCACTCCCTATGGGCCTGTGGGGGCCATTTTCATTCAAACCTCCACAGCTGAGAAAGAGGCCAACTGGTCACAGAACAGTTCATCTTACCCACTTGATTATTGGACTCCTCCTTAGCTGTAGTTACCTTTTGATGAGCACTTACACACAAGTATCTTCACACAATTTGTCCATCTGGAGCGATCTGTCCACATACTTCTCCAGATGCTTTTCTCACCAATTTTCCAATCATGCTCTTCCCAAGTCCCTGATCATCCAATTAATCTATTAGCTACAGCCCATGAGTCAGTGAACAATCACACATCTGACCATTTCTCCTTCCGAATAAAAGGTGTACTGCCCCAAGTTCTGCTCACTGTGAAGATTTCCCAGAAAGGGGTTGTAATGCTGCAGCTGTCTACCTCTGTATGGTGTCTGCATAGGGTGCAGAGCTGTCAGTAAACCAGGCCCTAGTCTCTTCCATAGACAACTGATCTGGCATATCCCATAAGGCTATAGGTGCATGTGTAGCAATAGACAGCATTGTATGGGGAGTAGAAACAATTTGGACAACTTCTTCATAGAACTTGTTTGTGCCTTTAGGACCTGCTTGGGTCAATCATATATGCCACTTCTAGTTAATAATAGATTGTTGCTGTGTATGTTCTACTTTATATCTTGATCGGTCAGACAACACCCAGCTCATAACGGGCAGCTCAGGTTCCATGATAACTCGATAGCCCATTGTCAAGCATTCAGCTTCCACTAAGTCCAAGAGCTGTCTTTCAAAAGGAAAATAGCTGTCTGCAGATGAAGGAGCCTTGCTCCAAAATTCGAAAGGTCTCTTTGGTGATTCAGCTTTAGGGGCCTGCCAACGGCTCCAAACAGCATCCCTATCTGTCACTGCCACTTCAAGTACCATCAGATCTGCTGGATCATAAGATCGAAGTGTTAGAACAGCCTGCACAGCAGCCTGGACCTGTTGGAAGAGCCTTCTCCTGTTCCAGGCCCCACACAAAGCTAGCAGCTTTCCAAGTCACTTGGTATATGTGCCAGAGTAATACACCCAAGTGAGGAATGTGCTGTCTCCAGAATCCAAATAGATCCATTAAACATGCTTTTTTTTTTCTTGATGGTGGGAAGGGCCAGGTGCAGTAACCTATCCTTCACCTTGGAAGGAATAACTCTGCATGCCCCACACCACTGGACTCATAAGAATTTCACTGAGGTAGTAGAACTTTGGATTTTGATTGGATTTCTTTCTCATCTTCTGATTTATAACTGTGTTATAAACAAGTCTAGTGCCTGTTCACTTGACCCAACCAGTATAATGTCATCAATATAGTGTACCAATGTGATATTATTGTAGAAGAGACAGACAATCAAGATCCCTTCAAACTAAGTTGACGTAGGGCTGGAAAGTCAATATACCTTTAAAGTAAAACTAAAGGTATACTGATGGCCTTCCAAACTGAAAGAAAATTGTTTCTGGTAGTTCTTATGCATAGGTACCAAGAAAAAGTCTTTTGCTAGATCAGTAGTTGCATACCATGTGTACCAGGAAATGTGGTACCACACCTTACGTAGGGTACCACACCTGGTGCAGAAGCTACAAGAGAAGTCACTCCTTGAGTTTTCAGTAGTCAACTGTCACTCTCCACGAGTCTCTGTCTTTTGTACTGACCAGATACACCCTGCATCTTTCCAGTCCTTGATGGTGGCACTAATTTCTGCAAATCCTACAGGGATGTGATACTGTTTTGGCAGGGATAACTCTAAAGACTTCCATTTAGCCTTTCCAACCATAACAGATAGCCCACTCCACAAGTCAGAGAACCAGTAGAGAATTCTGGCAACCTTTAAATCTATCTATCCAAATTATACATTGTGGGACAAACATAAAGAAATTCAAAGCACTCAGGAGGAGAAAACCATATTTCAGGCACTGACTGGATCTACTGAGTCAGACTTCAGCCAAATCC